ACCCAGGGCAATAAAGTGAGACTCTGTCTCTTTTAAAAAAAGATTAAAATAAAAGTTTTCTATTATGTATATTTTACCACAATTTAAAACAAAAGAGAAACCACTAGCTTTGCAAACATATCCTATTCTATGGAAAGACTCTCCCTAAGACTTGCGCTTATCTGCATATTTTGCGATAGGTCTGTTTCCCAGAGATCATTGTATCCCTACTGCTCCACCTTGTGTGTGCAGGTGCTGAGCCTACCACCTCTGAGTTCACGGTCCTCATGCATGGGCCCAAGCTGAAAACCATCGAGGGGATTGTCATGGCTGCTGACAGTGCCCGCTCCTTCTCACCCCTTGAGAAGTTTGGCCAGAATTTCCTGGAGAAGCTGATTGGCATCGAGGTTCCCCACAAACTTCTGGAGCGGGTCACTTTTGTGGATACACCAGGCATCATTGAGAACCGCAAGCAGCAAGAAAGAGGTAATTTAGCCCTCATTTCTGAATAGCATGAGCTCCATCTTAGAAAACTGTTTTGACAGTGGTAGGCAGGGAAGGGAGAGGAAATGTGGCCAGTGTCATCCAAGACTGGGAGAGGCATTCTTTAATTCTGCTGCCTTCTTGTCACTGTGGTGTCACTTGGGCTTTGGAGTACCTTATCCTCCTATCTTCTTAAGCACTGATTTGGTTTGGGGATGGCTAGTATTTTCTCAAGGGAAGGACTAGTCTTTTCTGAAAGTATCTCCTAGAGGTCTAAGCTGGGGCTAAGCTGTTTTGGGGAAGCCTAGCCTATCCTGCTTGGCCAGGGCCCTGGACTAACTGAATTCCATCCAGGTATATCTGACTTTCTGGTTAAATTAAGTCTGGGGCTCCTAGGCTTGTTCTGGATTGAACCTGACCTTCAACTCTTTCTATTCCCCATTTCCACTTTAGCAGACCTGCTTCCACAAGCCTTGATCAGGCTTTCCAAAAACCCTACTTGCCTTCAGGTGCCATGGGAATGCCACTTTGGGCCTGGCAGGCACAAAGCCATGACAGACAACCAAGCACTGCCATAACGCAAGGCAGTCTGTAGATATGCATCCTAAACGGAGCAGTCGTAGGAATATGTGACCAGATGGTAGATATCGGTTTATGGTTGTAACTAGACTCTGTTTTATTAGTAGTAATATTATCACTAATACTTATAATAGTAAATTAACCTTATTATACTCCATTATGCATTGGATAATTATTATTTTTGAGACAGAGTCTCATTTTGTCACCCTGGGTAGAGTGCCATAGTGTTGTATTTCATAGCAACCTCGAACTCTTGGGCACAAGCAATCCTCTTGCCTCAGCCTCTCAAGTAGCTGGTACTACAAGTGCCTGCCATGATGCCTGGCTAGTTTTTCTATTTTTAGTAGAGATTGGATCTCCCTCTTGCTCAGGCTGGTCTCAAACTCCTGAGTTCAAGGAATCCACCTGCTTCGGCCTCCCAGAGTGTTAGAATTACAGGGGTGAGTTACCACACCTGCCCAGGATAATTTTATTCGTTAATGATTGATCATCGTAGAAAAAGATTTCAGGGGCCAGGTATGGTGGCTCATGCCTGTAATCCTAGCCCGGAGGCTGAGGTAGGTGGATTGCTTGACCTCAGGAGTTCGAGACAAGCCTGAGCAAGAGCGAGACCCCCATCTCTACCAAAAACTAGAAAAACTAGCCAGGCATCATAGTGGGTGCCTGCAGTCCCAGCTACTCAGGAGAATAAGGCAGGAGGATTCATTGAGCCCAGGAGTTTGAGTTTGCTGTGAGCTATGATGATGCCATGTTACTCTACCCAGGGTGGCAGAGTGAGACTATCTCAAAAAAAAAAAGATTTCATTGTTTTCAAGACAGGTATTCCAGGTCATCTCATTTTGCAAATAAGAAAACTGAGGAAACATGAAGTAAAGAAATTAAAATATATTGGCCACTTACTACGTGACTGGAAGTTTTAGTTAGTTGCTTTCTATATTAACAGCAACATAGTAATCTCTGTATCAGCTTAGGTGTTATTGTTCTTCCTTATCATTTTGTAGCTAAAAAGCTAGCGCTTAGAAGAATTTAATGTTCAACTTGCCAGTGGCAAAACTCAAATTCTAGTCCAGGGCTTTTTTTTTTTTTTGAGACAGAGCCTCAAGCTGTTGCCCTGGGTAGAGTGCT